AGACTCGGTGTGCCCCAGTTTGCCGCAGACCTCACTGCGGCGGGGACCCGTGCGCCGGATGCACTGGCAACGACCTCTGCCTCAAGGGCCACCTCTCTAGGTAACCCACTCACGAAGCTGCTGCGGCATAAGATTCTCCTGCCGATGTGACTGCTGCTGCTGTCCACCCCCAGAGCCTCCGCCTCTACCAGCTGCACCACAGGACGTAGCTCCTCAAGAAGCCGTAGCAGGGCCTCCACCTCCGCCAGCTCCACCCCGGCCGCCACCCGCGCCCCCTCCACCGCCCCCACCACCCCCACTGCCACCACCACTCCCGTCACTTCCACCGTCACCGCCCTCCGCCACCCCCACCACCACCACCGCCTCCGCCACCACCTCCGCCATGGCCACAGCTAGTACCACCTCCACCACCCCCACCGCCCCCACCCTAAGTATGCGCACCCATGCCGCGGCGCCCCTTGCTAGGGGCGGACGCTACACCGACCTCCTCGGCTCCAAGGAGGTCAACAGCAGCAGCAGAGGCAACAGAAGGCACGAGAAGGGAGGGGGAGCACCCCTTAAAGAAGGAGGGGTTGGGAGTGCCAGGAGAGGTAGCTACAGCGCGGGCCTTGGTCTCGGCCTTGAGGAGACGGGTCTCAAACGAGGCAAGGGTGAGCTTGGTGGGGTCTAGGGTGAGGAAGTAGTCTCAAACAGCGCGAAGAGAGTTGAGGTGGCGAGTCGTGAGGAAGTAGAGAGTGAGATACACAGCGGGCTGGTTCTTAGCTAGGAATTCTGGCTTGAGAGTAGCACGGTAGCGCGCGTCAAGGCAGTGCAAGTGAGTCATAAAGTCGGTTACAACGGCAAAGTTAGACAGCTCATGGAAGAGAAATGGCAGCACCAGACGGCCTAGGGTGGCAGAAGAGGGGGAGGGGTAGCGCTTTACTACGATATCATAGAGCTCTTTGGCCGTTTTCAGCCGTCAAAAGAGGGACCTCTGGTCGGGCGGGAGGTGAGAGCAGACTGCAAGCTGGGCAGTGGTGTCAAGTCCTAACCACTGTGCACGAGCAATGCAATCAATCCTAAATTGCTACCACAGAGTCTCAGTAGCGCTAGGGCTAGGGTCGCTAGCCTCAGCAGGGCAGAAAGGGACCTCGACGTGTGCTCAAAGAGTGGGACATCATTCTTGGTACTGCTAAGCAGGTACAAGTGAAGGTCCTCTAGCCATGACTCATACTCGATCGGGCGGTCCTGTGTATCAAAGGTCAGTACTATAGGCGTTGCTATGGTAGGCCGCGGGGCTTAGCAGCAGTTGCGCAAGGGCAGCAGCGGCGGCGGTGCGGCACACGGGCAGCAGTGGCGCTTGGGCGGCAGCAGCACAGGGGCAGTAGCAGTGGTGCAAGGGCGGCCGAGGTGATGGTGCGCTGGTAGGTGCTGCGCACGAGTGGCTGCTATGGTGGCAACGGCGGAAGGTGTAGCTGTAGTGGCAGCTGCGGGAGCTGTAGCCGCAGCAGCTGCGGGAGCTACAGTGGCAATGGCAACGGCTGTAACAGCAGCGGCGGTGGCTGCGGGAGGGGCCGCGGTGGCAGCTGTAGTGGCAGCCGCAGCAGTAGCTGCGGCGACAGTGGCAGTAGTTATAGCAGCAGCGGCGGCACCTGCGGCAGAGGCGGCGGCGGTTGTAGCGGCACCAGCACCGGCTGTAGCGGCAGCGGCAGTAGTAGTAGCAGCGCAGCGGCAGCGGCTGTGGCAAGGACGGTGGCGGCAGCTGTAGCGGCAGTTGCAGCGGCTATAGCAGCAGCGGTCGCAGTGGCGGCTGTAGTGGTAGCGGCGGCAGCAGTAGTAGCAGAGGCGGCAGCGGTTGCGGCTGTAGCGGCAGCGGCGACAGTGGTGCACGGGGCAGCAGTGGCACAAGAGCAGCGGCGGCGCCATGTAGTAGCGGCGCACGGGGCAGCGATGGTGCGCGGGCAGTGGCGGCGTGCGAGCAGCGGTGGCGCCAAGCAGCAGCAGCGCACGGGGCAGGGCGGCGTACATGCAGCAGCGGGCAGCGGTAGCGCGTGGGCAGCAGCACCATGGGAGTGCAGGGCGGCGCGAGCAGGGCACGTGTGGGAATGTGGGGTGGCGCACGCGTGGGAATGCGGGGCGCTCGCAGCAGTGCGAGAGGGGCAGCAAGGGGCATCATGAGGCAGAGCGAATATGGGGTAGTGTGGGGTAGTAGGTATGGTAGTAGGGCCTAACCTAGCCTCGGATACCATGTTAAAGTGATACGCAACGGAATGATGAACTATTAAAGAGGAGAGATAGAAGTACAAACCCTAAGATGAGTTCTATCCTTTATAGGCTACCCCAGTATATCCTAAATAACAAATATACATAGTTTGCTAAGAGGGGAGGCAACATCGAGTGTATTGCTATAAACGGTTGTGTCTGTCACACTGCATAGAAGCACAGCAAGTAGGGGAGTGGGAGAGAGGGGATGGGGGGAGAGAGGGGGGGAGAGGGGGGAGAGTGGAAGGGAGTGCATTGGGGGTGCAGTGGCTCCGCTTGGTTTGGCAAGATTGCAGCAGCAGAGCAGCTGCAAAAGCTGCCACATCAGCAGCTTCAGCAGCCGTTGTCCCCTCCGGTTACACGTCTTCAGCTTCTTTGGTCTTCCCTTCTCTTTGACTTACGGTCCTCCCACTGCCCCATTTCCTCTCTCAGACCCGTGTCGGGCTCGTTTTCCTCCTCATTCCCGGTCTCCTTCTCTTCTCCCTGACCAGTCTCATCTCACATCTTCCTGTACTACTCGCGACCCTCGTGCTCGTCCCTCGTCCCCTGTACCTGGCTTTCATTATGTGGCCTTCATGTTTCAACTCCTAACCTCCCCTCTCCTCCTCAATCATCTCTCACTGTCTTCCCTCCTCCGTTCTCTTATTTTATCCATGTGCTCGTCCTACGGCTTCACATATCCTTTCCTCCTATGTCACTAACCTTACTACTCTTCCTTCATTTGTCTCGGCTCTTGTCGCCACTGTTACTGACCTTTCCTCCAGTCACTAGTCTAACCGGGGTGCGCCTGCATTTGCTAGTAACATCCTAGAGGACAGGCAGTTTGAGATATCCTTTCTTGCGGTAGCTGCTCCCTATCTCTATGCCATGTTGCTAGCCCCTGAGGGTGACCCAAACGTTTTTGACATACCGACTCTTAGCACCTACACTAAGGCAAACTCAAGTGAGTAAGGCTCTTAGTGGATAGCAGCTATGGAATCAGAGATGGCATCTTGGAGGTCCAAAAGCACCTACATCAATGCAATTCCCGGTCTTGGGGTGAACGTAGTCGACGGCATGTACATCTTCAAAGTGAAGCGGCCACCTATTTCGCCGCATATCTTCAAGGCGCGTAGCGAGAGGCTTCAATCAGCAAGAGGGGTTAGACTACTTTCAGACATTCTCCCCTACCACGAAGATGACCACTCATTGGGTGTTGCTGCACATCGCATGATAGCGTGACTATGAGCCCCACTCACTGGACTTCTCCACTCTGTTCCTTCAAAGCTGTCTTCACGAGTAGACTAGGCTGCGCCGCCCTCCTGGTTTCACTAGATCGTTCCCTCCTTGCATGTTTACGGTCTGCTTCAGGCTCTACGTGAGTGGCACAAGACATTACGGTCTACACTTGCTGCTCTTGGCTTCTCACCGTCCTCAGCTGGCCCTTCTCTGTTCGTCCACTCTGGCTCGACGTCGTTATTCATCCTTGTCTACGTCGTTGACCCCATGGCTTTTGTTTTAGCCTTGGTTTTGGAGATGTCTCGTGGAGGTCAACTCGTGTGTCGTTTGTTGCTCTATAGCTACACAGGAGCTCTGCTGGCTAATCTTCCTGCTCACTGACGTAGGTGAGCCACCTCGCTCTGCCCCGGTCCTGTTCGCTGATAATAGTAGGGCCCTGAATCTGTTCAGCTAGTCTTGACTAGTGGGCAAGGCGAAGCATGTTCAGCTGTTGTACTTCTTACTGCGCAAGTTGCAGCAGCATGGCCATGCACGTATGGTACCAATAGCCTCAGAGGCCAACACTGCTGATATCTTCACCAATGCGCATCAGCCTCGTGATCATCATCAATTCTGCACGGAGCGTGGTTTAGTTATATGAGATCATCACCTGCTAGTTTTGTGCTCTTTGCTAATTGCTCTGTCCATGACTCTACATAGTCTCAAAGTAACTTAACGGAAAGGTTGAGTAGTAGGAGGGAAAGGGTACAAGACAAGTGTCAAGAGAATCGTATACCCCCTACTGTGAACCCCACTGCAGGCTAGGAATATAACATACATATATGCATCATTTGACAATAGATATATTGTGTGAACTTATTGGCTGGCCTTGTTGCCTCATGGTCTCATAGGTTTGAACTAGTAGTGCTACCCTGAGTTTGCTTGTTGTTCCGTTATCGCCTCTTACCTAGGCTAGAGTGTGTGTCAAACTACATTTGACGTATATTTTGTTCGGCTAGGTTGCTTAGTATGAGGTACTATGTAGTGATTACAACATTGTTCATATGAATTCAGTATGCCCTTGTGTTGCCATTCTGCCGTCTCACACTTGTGACAATATCATGGCTTCAAGGCTACAGATGTATGAAGAGGCAGAGAAGAAGAAAAAAAACAGAAAGCTAGAATTCATGCTCGGTGACGTCAATGGTTCTTGTAGCACTCTGACACATTGGCGTAAAACTATACAAATAGATTATGGACAAAGACAAGCACCGTACATTCTATGAAAATGAATCACTCGAAAAGGCCCTCTATTTACAGCCCAACTGAGCATATACCCACACGGGCACTCGAAACAATAGGAGTACAGACAATTGTTCCAATAGGCATTTTCTCTAAGCACTCAAATCCATTCATCTTTCTGTAACAGCCTCTGATGCTAGCAAATCCCACCACTTTAATATTGTTGCAACTGTCTCCGGCTGAAATGTTGTACGTGCCCCCTGGGCATGTGCCAATTCTGAACCTGATGCTGCTGTGAATGCACGCCTGCAGTATGGGATTCAAGGGGTATTTAGAAGGATGAAACGAAAACAGCGTTCGCAATCTGAAGCTGCATCATGTCCAAATGACGACACAAAATGGCCAACCTTGCGCTGTGAGAAGGCCTCAAAGGTAGCAGTCGGCAGGCGGTTGTTGCAGTTGATGCCTGGGTTGAGGCGATAAAACTCTAGAGGGCTCAAAGGCGGATTCACGGCTATTCTTGCAGCATCGCAGCCATCACTGCCCTCCATTTCATACTGCTGGTCACACACTGCCACCATCCCCGCCTTGCTCTCCTCCCACTCCACACACACGGCCAACCTGCCCACGAGTGCTGCACAGTCCAGCCCAGGGTTGAGCCCCACCAACGCCTCCTCACATGCCTCGCCCTCCACAGGGCACCCCTCGCTCAGACCAAACAGCGCGGCTATCGATGCACAGCTGTCGCCCTGCAGGCACATCCAGTGTCACATATAATCAAGTTACAAAATTCTTAATTTTAGACATGAGAGCATTAAGTGTCATAGCCTATGAAAAAACATTTGCAGATTGATGAAGTGAAGCAGCAGCAGGGTGAGATGGTAGATGCACTGTTGCCTTGGTGCACTCACAAGGTGGGTGGTGTAGACGAGCGAGCACTTGGGAAGAAGTTGAGGCGGTGCAACATTCAGCTTGAAGCCCACTGGGATGGGCTTGGAGCAGGAGAGCTTCTGCAGGCATGGAGAAAGAAAGGCACTCCAGGGATAAACGTTACATATTGTGGTGATCAGTTGAGTTGAGCACTAAATATGCATATGAAGCAACCGACCTTGTTCTTCTGCTTGAGTTCGTCCAGAGTGAGGCCAAGCACGGGCAGCAAGTGAGAGCACCACACACTGCTACCACGCACTGTGTAGCTCCCTTTGTTGTCACCTGCAAGTCTCAGCACAGGATGTGCATCAGCACAAAACAACTACCGCATAGCATGCAATATTTATATTTGCTATCCAGCTCCAATCGTTCTGGTAAAAAAGAAGGAAACCATAAGGCAGGTGTGAAAGAGAATGTTCCATGCAGCAGAGCATGGAAGGATGAGGATGAATGGCACCTGGAGCACAGGAGAGGGTTCCCTTGGCGGTGGTGCCTTGAACGAATCCTGGGGGACACACACAGGAGTAGCTGCCCTTGCCATCGTTCACACACGTGCCCACCACACACGGGTTGCTGCCTGCCAGACCACAGGCGTCCACTGGCAGCAGCAGGCAGGGAAGAGGAGGGGAGGAGGTGTTTGGGTAAGCAATACGTTGAAAATGGTGGTCAGAAGTGCACGAGGGAGTGTGAGTGTAGGCTGGGCTCACCATAGGCGCAGGTGTTGGAGCCGTCGGGGTGGGAGGCCTGGACGAAGTGGGGAGCAGCACAGGCACAGCGGTTGGATGCTCCGGCCTTGGAGCACTTGAACTGCCCACACGGGTTGAACGCATTGGTTACGGGCACTGCCCATGAACCCGCCAGCTTCACAGACTTGCTCCCACACGGGTCAGCATTCGCTGCCACACAGACACCACGCATAGCACCCAGATGGGACAATCTGCGTAGCTAGAGCAAGAGCATACGTGGATTGCATAGTCCAAGAGCCTGTAATGCAACATGGTAATAGTGCCGAACAGTAGCTGAGGGCACAATAACTGCAAAGTGTACCACTGACTTGCTGCCATACAGGTCAGCAGTAGCTGCCACGCACACACCACGCACCATATACACATTTCAGAAGTTGTGTAGCTAGAGGAGGGGCAATCATGGAACGTAGAGTCAAAAATAAAACTGCGAGACGTTCAACCAAACATTTCACGGTCACCTATCCAGGCAAGTACGTACATCGGAGGATGGGGAAGATGCCTGGCAGTGTGTTGATGCCACAGATGCCCGGCCCGCTCTGCATGTCCATGAACATGTGTCCTGCAGCCCCCCATCCGCTGCCCCACGAGTTGCGGATCACCCAGAGGGGCGCAGGCATTCGAAAAGGGCTAGCGTTGCTTGTCTCGACACCGTAGCCCACCACCAGGACAGCATGGTTCACTCCGTTCTGGAAGCAACTGCCATTTTCGTACTTGGATTTCTGATAAGATTGCAGCACAGAACAGGAGTGAGTGGAAACTGGTTTGAACGGGAAACATCTGATCTGAAATTGCTGCTTGGTGATAGGGATATCGTTGTCTAAGGTAGAGGGTGAAGCAGTAGAATCTATCATCCGTCACTCTCTCAGAAAATGCCGTTGTTCAGTAGAAAAAAAGCAGGCCGCGCCCATCTGTGCACGAACCAAAACAGGCATCCGAACCCACCTCCTGTCCCCCTTTGACCCGCACTATGTCTGGGCTCAAAATCATGCGCATGTCTACAATTGGCTGGGTTTGACAGCTTGTGAAAGTTCGAGCAGGATATCAACGAGATCGCCTTCCATCTTTAACCACAACGTCAATGGTATCGGAAGTAAGCAATAGCAAAGCAGCAGTTCGAACTTCGAACCAGAAATCTCTTATGTGCATCTGGGGAACAAGCTATCTGGGATTTCTGGTCGACAAACTGTGCATCACTCCATACAGCTGAAACATCCAGAAAGTCTCTGCTCACCATAACCTCAAACCTATGGCACCTGCCTCAAGCACAGATCCATATCATCTCACCCCATCGTAGTCGAGGAATGATGGTGCAGATGCCTCTATTCGCACAATCACTGGCTGCCGTTGCACTGCCAGCAGCAAACCCAGCCAGCCTCCAAAAGAACTCTCCTCGAAACCCTGAATTCCGTAGTACTTCGGCTTCTGCAATTTTCAAAACGCAGGTGGGTAGGTGTGCGTGACGAGAAATAGGAGAGACCAGCCTAGTAGGTATTGAAAGGGCTGTGTGAATGATGTGTGTGCATTGCATGCATGGAAATAAGCACGTGAAAACGACACAAGCAACATCTGGGCAACAAGCTATCATCACTAGGCCTCGATGCAGACCCTTCTTTCTGGTTACACAAGGGAGGGTTTGGGGGGAGAGGGGGGGAGGGAGAGGGAGAGGAGGAGGAAATCCGGGGGGATGGACACAGGAATGATGAGAAGACTGAACCAGAAAATGAGCAGGTGTTTGCACATTTAAGTGGAAAGGCAAGGATCTGGAGGCGAAGAGCAACAGGAAGAGCAACAGCAATGGTCTATGGGGGACGTACAACCAGCATGAGTATTGACAGTTGATCCGTGCGGGACACGGATGCCTGCATGTCTTCAAGAAGATGAGAAGGAAAAGAGTGAATGCCAAAAAGCATGTCCAAGTTGTGACTCAGTTGAGTCGACTAGACCTCTACCCCCTGGAATGACCGGGCCTGGCCAGCTCATCTTGTGTCTGGAGAGTTCATCAAAGTTTGTACGAAGTTTTGATCGGCTTAAAATGAGCCTGTGTATGTATGTAACACGCCAAGGCTCCCTATCATTTCACCCAGCCTAGTGTGAAACCTCATATCCCCTCCCTCTGAATTCTCCTTTTTGTCCACATAATTCTTCCATCATCATTCATCATCACCAGCACCCACAACTAGCTGCAACTCACCGCGGCCAGTCTCTCCCGCCGGCCGGCGGACGCCATGCTGTGGGGACTGGCGGCCGCTGCTGCTGCGTCATCCACGAGCCCCCCTCCCTTGCGCGTGGCAGCCACCAGGAAGGCCAGCACATCGCGCGGAGGCATGTCGTCGCAGTTGGCCGACAGGGCCACCCGCAGCTGCTCCACCGACAGCCTTGGGGGCTGATATAAGCTTTCCATGATGCTGTAGGCTGCCTCCACTGCTGCCACCACTGCGTATGCTGAGGAGTCGGCTGCATGCCAAAGATGGGCGACGTTGGGGGAAGTAGATGGGGGGCCGGGGGGTAAGGGAGGAGGGGAGGGGGAAGGGGGTTGGAAGGCCAACAGGTAGCCGCACAGGGATGGGTAAGGAAACCCACTCCCATTCCATACCCCAGCCATGCCACACCCAACCCATGCTACACCCCACCCCTGCCATGCCCCGTCCATGCCACAACACCCCCATGCCACACTCCAACATTGCCACACCTCGTACATGCCATCCCATGCCATACCACATCCATGCTGGTTCTTCACAGGCCATGTTGCCATGTTTCGCATCCACGTGACAAATGCAGGAGGCTTCCACATGGGCAGACCGTCCGCAGTGGGGAGGAAGGAGAGGCTGGCATAGTGGAACGATGTGGGCACACTCTCGCCCTCGCCACCTGCTTCCACCTCCTCTGCTGATGCTACACTTCCAAATGCAGTGCCTGGGAGTTCAGGGGTACAATGAGGAAAGCATAGAACTAGGTGCTTATCTGGACATCTGGAAACATATCTCAGATTCAAAACTGAAGGTACAAGTTCCTTCAAACTGAGAAATACTGACCTGAATTCTATCTATGTACGTAATCTACTTGTTGCCAGTCTGATAATCAGAGATTTTTTTCAGATCAAGGTGTGCCCTTACCGGCGCTCTGAGATTGCCACTCCACTGCTGGTGGTACATCTGCAAATATCAACGTGACAGCATACACACACACACAACCCGCCCACACGAAGTGCCGCATGCACACATTCATACGCAAAAACACACAATAACATTTTTTATCCCTCATGGAAACTGCAGAGAATGAGACAACATCCAGATACATTTTTCCATGTGAAACCATAATCATCTAGCAACGAACCAACATAGGCTGTCAAGCTCACCGGTGTCAATTTTCCACGAGAGGATGTCATGCCTCTGAGTGTTGTTTGCAGAGGCGGCCACAAAGCCGAAGAGGAAGAAGGCACTGCCTACGGTGGGCTTGAGCGCGCTGCACAGAGACACTCTTGCTGTCACCACAGCCTTGGACGGCTGCTGCCTGGAGGCTGAGAGGAAGACTCGTAGGGTGCCACCGCTGGAGGGGTCGTAGTGGATCCAGGCATGCTTGGTGTGGCCGTCGTTGAGGATGAGAGGGGCCGTGGCAGAGGCGAGGGACACAGGTGAGCCGCCCACATTGACGCCCACGTGGTTGTCGTTGGGGTCGCTGTGCTTCACACTCAGCACCGAGTCAAACTCCACCGCCACACTCCGCTTCCCCACCCCTCCCAGCCCCACCCCTGCTGCAGCCCCTTGGGGTGCCGTAGCAGTAACCACAAACGCCAGGCCCTCGCCGGATGTGGAGGAACCAGCAGAAGCAGGAGTCATTCGAAATGCAAATGAAACTAAAAATGATATCGGCTGGTCACAGGGAGTCTTTTGGCTGGTCGAGAGGAAGAGAGTGATGGGCTGCTTTATGAAGGCTGCTCCCCATGATGCACTGGCTGATGGCGGGGCAAGGAAGATGGAGCCATTGGGGGCAGAGGAGGCTGACTGGAACAAATTCACCGGTTGTGAGTAGGAGGAGAGGCGAGAGGGGATGTAGGGCCCTGCCAAGGAGGAGAGAAGGCAAGTGCAAAGAACTCAGATGAAAATGGATGTTTGGAATGACATTGAGCTTTGAAGTGAAGGTGTGTGCTATGGGATGGAGGGAATTTTGAGTGGATGGGTGCACCAATGCACGGATGGGTACATTGGTACAGTTCAGGTCAGTGATGACCATCAGTTATTAAATCATGAACACTAAAGGCAATCGCAAATACAGCAGCAATTGGAGCACTCATCGAATCACGGAGCGCAAAAGGTAGATCATACTCTTGCCATACCTTGTGCAACACATGTCCCGGCAGTGCTCCCATCAATGTATCCAGACTCGCAAGCACATGCAAGATCGGTACTCTGAGCAGCGTAATAGCATACGCCATGGCCGCTACAAGGCGGATTGAAGGGCTCGTTTCCACAGAACCATTTGCACCAGTCAGAGCTCTTCTGTGTTTGCTCTTTGCCACAGATGTTCAGATTGGCTGCAAAGCAGTTAAAATCTAGAACAAATCGGTATGTGGGACATGCAGGAGGGGCTTCTGCTGCGCCCGTGAGGTAGTTGAAGTTTGCAGCGAGCAACTTGAGTGACTGCATGAGCTTCAGAGAGGGAAGATTTCCCACGAGCTGGTTGTATCCCAGGAAACTGTTGCGGATTGAAAACCACAGTGGTGTTTGATTAAAGAGGGGGGGGGGGGGGGGGGGGGGGGGGGGGGGGGGGGGGAGGGGGGGGAACGGCACTTGAGAATGGCATCAATTGATGTAACAGGATGAGAGCAAGCAGGTAATGTGAGGGAGCACAATGAGAGCAAGCATGCATCGTGTGACTGTCAATCAGCGAGTGACAAACGCGAGTATGGGGCACACCCGAGGGAAAGAAAGCACAGGCTTATACGGGACCTAGTAAGGACATGTTTAGCAAGACATGTTTGCGTGGAATGATTCCAACAGTCGGGATTCCGTGGTAGCACTGGCCGTACAAGCTTCTGAAGCTGTATGAAAAATGTGCGCATACTTACAGGTACTGCAGGCCGGTGAGGGTTCTGAATACTGCAGGTATTGTTCCCGCAAGATAGTTTTCAGACAAGGCCCTGAAGATGGGTTGTAATCACAAACAAAGAGAGTAGCGGACGAGCTGCACATTGTGAGAGCAACATCCAATCCTGAACAAATACACATGGAGTGTCCCCAGAAATATGCATCCAATCCCAACAAATGCCCAGGCTGGTAGTCTCCAGATGGTAACTGGATGCTGAACATGCCAATGTAAAACAATCTGAAAACAATGTGCTCCTCAAAAATCTACTCCGTCACTGGAATTTCACGCGTCCACCTCAAGTTCAATCTCTTTCATGCAACAAACACCATCTCAATTCGTCATCCTGGTTTCTATGGAGGATATGAACTTTGCCCCCAAGGCTCCGAACGAGTCACATGCAGTTTGATTAGAATCTGCAAGAAACCGGCCAACAAGAATATCTGGAAGCTTGCCTTGAATGATCTTAAGATGTCCACCGACTACATGGGCATGGAGGTCACATGTAGCACAACAGCTTGCAGCATCACCCTTTCACATGGAGTATGAAATCAGTTATGCCTCGGAAACAAACCCAGTCATATAGCCCACTCCAGGCGTACAACCAGTTTGCACTACCAGGGAGCCTTCGGTGTTGAACACTCTATCCACGCATAATTTTCAACGATGACGGTTGAACTCAGAGCTCGTGCCTTACCTTAATCCATACTGCAAAATAACAAAACGAAAACAACAACATAGGAAAACAGGGGGAGGCGGCGCACATGGCCGTAAGCCGGTCCAGGTTGACCAAGGAGGCGGGAATGGTGCCACTCAGCGAGTTGTAGTGCAGGAACCTGCCTTGGGTTGGGATGTCATACAGGACATACTGTGTTGTTGAAGTTGTTCCCTTGACAGCATACAATGAACAAGTTTGATAAGAATTGCATCACTTAAACATGTGGGATATGTGACAATCGTGGAAGGACATCCCCATGAATTCTTGCATCATAATGCCTGCTCTTTCTCATGCTCTTATTGTCTGGAGATCCTGAAGACGCTTGGCCTATTGTGAAGCATAGAAAACGCTTCCATGAGCGTATAGGCTTCGGTAAGGTTTGGCTGTTTATCCTGTGTGCATGTTCCTGTTAGATTTGAACTGTGACAAACTTTGCAATCTTCAATAAGACTGCCCAGCGCAGCAGCGTTCTTACAGTGCTCGCAGGCCTGTGAGGTCACCGATTGACTCTGGGATTGATCCCGTAAAAGAGTTGTGATCGAGGAGGCTGATGGGTGAATGTGGGGAGGGGAGTAAAGAAGGAACCCTATGCATTGAGGGGAGCATAGTGAGTGAAGGGAGCACAAGGAAAGACGAGCATTGGAGGGACGGCTTGAGAGGAGGGAAGTGATAGGAGTATACAAAAATTGGAAATTACAATAATTTTGCAGTAGGGTAGTCAATGGGATAGCACTGGAATGATTCCTTCAAAAGGATTGCATTGCATTGAAGGAACAGAGATGTGGGTGGAAGATTCACATATTAAGGGAGAGGAGAATATGATATGGAAACAGAAACGGGGGTGGGAGTGAAGGAGGCAAGCGGAGGCGGACTATGCAATAGTGTTGCAGTTCGAAAACCCATTGTTCTCGTCCGCATATCTCTATAGCAAATTGCACCACACACTCGGTACCACTACCACCAAAACCACATGAACATTTTGCCATAGACATGCTTCCATCACACTCAATCACTCTCATTCTGCTGCCTCCATTTGTTGCTACATCACAGTGTGCATCCCTACTCCAGGCTGACTCACACACGTGTCAACTTCTGCAGGGTGCCGAGGGTGTCTGGGATGGAGCCGTTGAACTGATTCAAGTCAAGACTCCTGAGGCTCCAAGCGGAGGGGAGAGGGAGTTGGGTGCAGAGGTGGGGTGAGAGAAAGGGGAGCGCATTCGTTAGGGAGGGCGCGACCTTATGGAAATTTGTGGTTGGAGCAGGCTAGTTCTGCTCTGTATTTGGTACTGATCGGACATCATATCTTGCTACCGACTCAGGTCCAAATGAGGATTATTTCATTCCTTGTTTTCTAAACCGAATATGCAATAAGTCTGGTTGGGGTTTCATACCCAACTCCCTGTACATGTGTTTTTGGTGGTTGTGGTACGGAGGGGTTGCACTTCAACCTACTCGATAACCTTGCCTCGTCAATTTTGGCTTGAAGGCTAGACTCTTTAACATGGTGTCAGAGTGGTCTGGGCTGGGGTTCAGTCCTCTAGGCTGGCACCCTCTCGCTTGGCCATCTCCCGTTGTGAGCTCCTAGGGCAACTAGAATGACCCATAGATCCTGGGAGGGCTACAGGTACAGTCCTAGGTGCTCCCCTTCGCCAAACATGAACAAGGAGCGATCGGCCGTTGAGGGAGTGAAGCTGATCTCCTCCAAAACTTCTCGCAGCTTCAAGTACCATTGCCTTGGGGCCTGCTTGAGCCCATAGAGGACCTTCTTCAGCTTCAAAACTCTGCCACTACCATCATTACACCTCTCTGGCTGCGCCAAGAAAATATCTTCTTCGAGAATGCCGTAGACGAACGTGGTTGTCACGTCCATTTGTTTCACCACCCATCTTTTGATGGCAGCCCTCGCAAGCAGGGTCCGCAGCATCGTCGGCTTCACTCCAGAAGCAAGCAGCTCCTTGAAGTCCACCTTCTCCTTCTGTTGGTACCCCTTGGCCACAAGCCTAAACTTGCAGCGCTCGATCTTGCCGTCGGTGTCCGACTTGATCTTGAAGAGCCACTTGGACGTTATCGCCTTACGTCCTTTGGATAGCTCCATCAATTCCCACATATCATTCTCCTCAATGCTTTCAGCTCGCTCTCCATGGCCTTCTTCCAAACCTCAGCATCACTACTCTCCAAGGCCTCCTTGAGAATTGCTGGTTTCCCCGGCATCTCCACCGGAGAGAAGAACATGAACGCACAGTCCTCGTAGTCACTTTCCTCGTCATCTCCGACCATCATTGTCACTCCGGCCAGGGGTGACTTGCCCTGCTTTCCTGATCCATCTTAGGTCAACCTATTAGGAGCCGAAACCTTAGAACAAATGTAAGTCGAGAAGATTTTTTCCTCCTCGATCTCATTTCGACAAGCCAGCAGAGGACTTCGAGTAGTAGTTAGCATGCCTTAAACTACCTCATAACCTAGGATTCCCCACACGAATGCTAATACTTTAAGTTACTTGCCTTGATGTACGATTCTGGCTGCAAATAGTCCGATTCGCGCTTGTCACTAGAGTAGTTTTTCTGCCACCTTGAATCTAGCACAACCTCTAGTTTGCTTCCACCGCGCTACACCCGTGGCACGCGCGCTGTAATAGACGCATTTAGCCGCAACAGCAGCTCGATTTCACATACGTTGCTTGCAGTGTGACGGGGAGTCCGCGAGCACACGTCGAGGTGCGTTCCGTGGGGGAGCGGTGAAAGGGCGCGAACCATGTCAGGCACTGACGGTGATCCTGCCAGCTCCACGCGAATTCTAGGGTTTTCTCTTGCGACCGTCGGAATCACATCTTTCGGTGGGGAGGGTTTCCAGTTGGGCCAGCTCTCCCCAAGTGCTGACCTTGTGGCCCATGAAGAGGGCGTTGCGGCGCGGCGAGCTTTGGAGGAGCGACGATGGCAGGAGGCAATGACGACCTGCAAGCTTCTGGTCAGCAGTCGCCAGAAGAACGTTGTGACCCGACTTGGGTCCCGGGTAATGAGGATGCTGGCGCTGCGAGTGATGGTGAAAGCAGTGGTGAAGGTGGGGGAAGCCGTGTGGGACTGAAGAGAGCACGTGTGGGTGTCCCGACTGCTACTGGAGGTGCTGTACCTACTGCCGTGTCTGCTCCAGCTGCTGGTGCGCCTGCTGCTGCCGCTACTGCTGCTGCGGCTCCTGCTGCTGTTGGGCGTCCGCCCTCTACTACTGCTGCTGCACGTCCTCTCGCTGCTGCTGCCGGACGCCCTCGCGCAGCTGCTGCTGCTGCGACCACTGCTGTTCCGTGAAGAGTTGGTTTTTCTTGGGCTTCTATCAATGCAATGCGGGAGGCCAACAAGTATCCAACCGATAAGGACCTAGATCCTGTTGTGGAGAGCGCTCTGAGAAGAGGAGAGCCGAGTTTGGTGAAAGGCATGTTCGGGGCGCTGAAGAACGATGCCCGGCAATGCCTTACGTGCAATACAGAGATTGGGTTGCGCCTAGGAAACACGACTTCGGGGGCTCGGCATTTGAAGAGGGCGCACTATCCTAGCCTTCAGATTTGGATCCGTCGCTTTCTAGCCCCAAACAAGTTCGATGGGCTTGTTTTCCCAAATGGGGGTTGGGGACGTACGGTACCTGATAAGACTAAGTGGCCTGGGAGCACGCAGACACATGGCCTGACATTCCAGCAGCCGATGCGGGGGCCAGGCCGAGTGGGTTGACCAAAGGAGCCGCCAATGGGGGGGGGGTAGGCAGGGCACCATCGATGCATATGTCATGGCTCGGATTGGAGAGCGGCAGCTGCGCGAGGCCCTGGTGATGTTGTTTGCCGGCCTCGACATGTCTTTCCGATCTGTCGACAGGCCCGCGGTAAGATATGTGCGCGGTCTCTTCTGTACACACGCACGGTCGGGAATACATTGACAAACTGTGCTTAATATCCTGTCACCAATCTCTTCTTCCACTCCCAACAATGTCTGTGACCCTCCACATGGCAGTTTCGAGACTTCGTCACCCTGCTGAACCCCGACGCGACACAGCATCTCAACACACGTTTCCGCCTTGCTCGGGACCTGCTGTCCGCGGGCGAGGTGGCTACGGCTCAGCTTTGACAGCTACTGACAGGCGACGGTTTGGCGGGGCGGGTGACACTCACCACGGACATATGGACTAGTGAGAACAACGTCGCCTTCATGGTGGTGACTGCTCACCGTGTCACCTCGGACTTCAAGCTGCAGTAGATGGTGATCGACTTCAGGCCGCTGGAGGGCCGTCACGCGGGGGACAAGATAGCCGATGAGCTGGAGCAGGTCATAGGGGAGTGGGCATTGGGTGGTGGTGAGTTCTTCGGCGTGACCATGAACAACGCCGAGAACAACAACCGGGCAGTTCGTCTACTGGCCGGCGTCTCTGACCACACACCCGGGTCACGTCCCCGTGACCCCCCCGTGATGTCCCTGCCTCGGCACTTCAAGTAAGTGCCGTCCTCTATTGCTATGAGTGTCTGTCGCATATCGTGCAATGCCAAGTACCCCAGTGACCCTATACCATATTGGATCATACCCCTCTCTGCATGTCATTGCTTGCCCTCCAGGTGCGTGGCCCATGTCCTGCACAGTGCAGTACGCAATGGAGGTTGAGCCGGTTGCCCAGGCGCTCCGCAGGCTGCGAGCTGTGGCTAGCCACATTGGGTGGTCGGTGCAGCGGTCGGAGCGTTTTTTTGACATCCAGAGACAGTATGCTGCGACCCGTGCGGCGACACAGGCAGAGAGGGACACCGAAGAGGGGGGGGGAAGGCACGCAGAGGGGGGCACTGCAGAGGGGGGAGGCGAGGCAGGCAGGGGGGGCAACAGTGCGCGGAAGGTACCTGCTGATTTGCGCCTGATCGTTGACTCAGATACGGGCTGGGGTTCCACGCTGGAGATGGTGGTGAGGGGGTGTGATCTGCACTGCACATTCCTCTCACGATGTACTTCGATGAGTCCACCGTACGTATGGGGTTACCACTAAGGATTTCCCCATTTCCCATTCATTCTATCCCTTACCCACTTTGGAGGGCATGTTCCTACAACGAAAGTCTTCCCATGCCCCATCCCATCACTATGTGTTTCCCCCATGTCACATTCACTTCATCCCTTACCCACTTTGGAGGGCATGTTCTTATAACGAATGAGAGGCAGATCCATCTCATGTGAGCTCTAAAGTCTACCCATATCCCATCCTGTCATTATGTATTTACCCCATGTCACCTCCCCCTCTACCGATTCCCTCTCCATCCCTTTCCTCTCTCCCCCTCTCAGCCTAACATCACCAAGGTCACACGCGAGGCATGGGCAGCAATCAGGCTGTCCGATGCTCACTGGTCATCCCTCAGCGAGCTGCGTGCTTGCCTCGAGCCGTTTTACCGCATCAGCCTGTTCGTGGAGGGGTCTTTGTACCCCACCATGGGATCGGTTGTGCCGTAGCACAATATGCTCCTGGATATTCTTGATGAGAACTTGCATTCGCCAAACGTCTCGCAGCTGTGCAGGGACCTGTCCAGCCGGGCTTTGAGCAAGTTGGAGCGCCACATGGGGGGGGGGGGTAAGCGATGAGGCGGCGATTGACACCTTCCTCGATCCTCGGCTCAAGACGGCGACCTTCAGGCTCAGGGCCCGGGGGGCGAGGACTAGCGCGCCCATTGTGGTGGAGGCGGGGGGCCATGCCAGGGGGGCCAAGGCACTCGACCTGAACGAGGAGAGGGTGAAGGCGCTCGTACACAAGCGCCTTCCACCGTACCAGACAGCGGCCCGTGCAGCGGCAGAGGCACGCGTTGGGGGTGAGGTCACGAGCGCAGTGGGAGTGATGGGGGCGGGCGCCGCAGAGGGCGGGTCCGCAGGGCGTAGGGGGGCCAGGTCGCGAACCGTGCTCGACTTTCAAGCTAGGTTGTTTGCTGACTTGGCAGAGATGGAGGCAGAGGAGGGGGTGGGGGCACAGAACGAGGTGGACCAGTATTTAGCTGAGGCGAGGCAGAAGGGAGGGTGCTCCTTAGCGTACTGGCGCGGGAGGGAGCAACAGCGGCCCGGGCTTAGGGCCATGGCACGCGTTTATCTGGGTATCCCCGCCATGTCTGCGGCGAGTGAGAGAGCCTTCAGTCAGAGCAGGAACATCATCTGGTGGCAGCGGCACCGTCTGAGCCCACAGCAGATGCGTGTGGCCATGATGATCAAGACTTGGCAGGATCACCACCGTGGACAGAGGCTTGAGATTCGTGGTGGCACTAGGACCATGCTGGCGCAGCTGTGTCTCGAGGCAAAGCAGCTAGGGTTGTGAGAGACAGTTGCACGGTGTTAGTTGATGCGTGCATTTGTCATTGTGTCTGTCCAGGTATTGCACTGTTGTATTTATTAACGACCTTCTTGTTTGTGAGGTAGCATGCATTGGCAGTAGCAGCATTGGGTTTTAATTAGCGGACATATTTATAGTGTGCTTGACTTTCATGCAATTGTTGTAGCGGACCCAATGAAAAAACTTCCCCAAACCATTGTTTGGTGACGCTTCGTACGTCTGTCAACCAGAAGTTCATTGTACATGTCAAGAAAAGTGTTATACAGACGATGCTAACATCACGGGTGGTGGTGGTAGTTGTAAAATGTAGTACACAAATAAATTAAAAAACAAGTACAACAGAGAAATGACACATTGTGAAAAACACCCCCAGCCCCCCCTAAAGAGGCGGGTCTAGCTGGCTCGACCCGACCCGACCCGAACCCGGGTCCCCTTTGACCCGTGTGAGTAGGCCCGGGTCGGGCCGGCTGTTTCAAGAATCTGGCCGAGGCCGGCCCGACCCGACCCGACTTGAAAGCCCGTGTGGCCCGGCCAAGTCGGGTCAGGTCGGGCCGGGTCGGGCCGGATGCTCAACTCTACTCACAGGTACTGGAGATTCTGCAGATTGCTAAGAGACTCTGGAATGGAGCCCGATAAAAAGTTGTCGTTGAGAATGCTGCAACAGGGCAAAGAGAGGGCTGAGAGTGAGGAGGGCTAAGAGTTCATAGGATTTTCCCCGACATTCTTTCCGACACGTTTTGCGGCGTGTATACTCACGGGCCTGCCTACATGCCCTTGTCTCGTTGATCGTATGGTGTACCAAAGAGATGGTGGCGCAAGAGGGGGGGGGGGGGGGGGAGGGGGGGGGGGGCTCACTCACAGGTTGACGAGCGCAGAGAGGTTCCCCAAACTGGAAGGGAGGGTGCCATTTAAAAAGTTGTCAGAAAGGCATCTGTCATGTTACAGGCATCAGAGACATCAATGCAAAGGGGAGCAGGCAACTGAGAGTCACAGGAATAAGCGCATAGAGGCTCAATGGACGCCAATAGGTGGCTGAGCAATGGAACGAAGAAAAGGGTTTCGAACAAGCAAAGCTGACAAACGTGGAAAACACGTGGAAAGGGGGCAGATCGAGGTGGTGAAACTGACAGAGTTTCCAAGCTTTTGGCGTTTCCCACAGCGTACGGAATACTGCCTGAGAGGCTATTCTCTGTGAGAAAACTGCACACAAGCACCGCACATGGATGGGCAGTCAGCATGCATGCGTACGTGTGTGCTTGGGTCAAACCTCTGTGGCCCGTGCCTGTGCTGCAGGGAGAGGGTGGATGTAACGAGATGGTGGTGCACGGAGAAGCGACATGTCCGGGTAACTCGGCCATAATTGGGTAAATGGGGAGAAGAGCATGGGTAACTCGGCCTTCATATTCCTTGGGCAACTTCACCAGCCCGCATCACATGGAGCGCCGCAGGACGTTGTGGTGAATGCATTGCAGTGAGCAGAGCACATGGAGCCTTACAGTTGGATGAGATTGGGCAGAGAGAAGAGAGAAGCGGGAAGGGAGCCTTTCAGTTGACTGGACTCGATGCTCCTGGGTGAGGAAGGCAGAGGCGGAAACATAGAGAGGAGAAACGGACTTGAGCAGAGCGAGGAAGGCAAGTGGTGCAAAGTAGCATGGGGAGCAAAACTTCGTGGTCATGTACTCAGCTAAGTGGAGCGAATCGAAACGAGGTGTCTGCTCCTTGCAAGGAGCTCCCTTGAACCATCAACTCCGCCAAAGTGGCGGTTATACAGCCACAACTTCTTCACCACTCACAGAACCGACAGGTGCTTCAAGCTGGTGATGCCCTCTGGAATAGAGGCCGCTATCGTGCTGCCGTATGTGTCACTGCGGAGAAGAGGAAGCACGAGGCAGGTGGGAATGGTAGTGCCCGCGTGAGGAGACCAACTCTTAGCGCACGAGGTTGGCGAGATGCAGCCAAATGCAGAGGCGTAGTGTCTGGCTTGGGGCAATTGCTCAACTAGATGCTGTGCCGGGAAATGTCCCTTTCACAAGCTATGCTATGATGCGTACATCCTGGTGACGTGGCCGTAGACGTCGCATGAGACTGCAACCATGGTGTCGCAATCACCGCCTCTAGTCCACGTGTCTCTGCCTTCTACACCGCTCCATGCAGATGCCAGCATCTCCAATACGCCCACTGCCACCACCATGCCATGCCGACCATCCCATGCCATGCCATGGCCATGCCATGCGATGCCAGGTACCACCGCCATACCACCAAACGGCGATATGCTTCCACAGGACCACAGGGCTCCCACGGTCAAGACACGCCCAAACACAACCGCAAGTCATTCACACCATGCCACACCATCACAAACAAAAGGATGCTGGGTGGGTCGCAATTTCACCTCCTTACAAAACAAAATAAATTTGAATGGGTGGGTGTATATGCGGTGCATAGCAAAGCACGCTGGTCCACGCTCTCTCATGATCGCCCCGTGGCTTACTGTCGGGGTCCAGCACGGGTGCAGCTGCGGCGAGAGGAACGCAGCGCGTCAGCATCAGTGCGATTATTACTACTAACGCTACTACCGCCGTTCTCGCTATGCCGCCACCGCACCACCCTGCCGTCGGCCCCGCCATCCTACAGTATCCCGTCGCCCGTGATAGTAATGTCGCCTGTGGCTAAGTGCCGCTATTTCTGGCGTCGGGAACTTATTATGCATTGGTGACCCCTCGGGCGACGCTCTTTATCATAATAAGGTTACTACCATCATCTACATGTAGAGACCTGGCTTGTAACACTAAAAACCACAACAAGAACGGCTGAAAAGGAACCATTCTACAGACAACAGTTGTGTTTCTACTGGTGGCTCTCTGAATACCCGTTGTGGCATGCCATCACCATAACTGGTTGGTGGGATGGACTTCACTGGATTTTATTAGCGATTCAAAGGGAACTTGGGAAACCCACTCGGCTAACACTGTATAATCCTTCTGTACCGCACTGCACTCAGGTGCACATGGAAGATACCTGTGTGGGAGTGGAAGGCACTGTATCAGTCTGACAAGGCGAGGTTACCCATACGAGGCCAGCACAGCATTGAGCATTCTGCAAACGACACCAGAAGTGCTCAAATCCCGTTGCTGGATTGGCTGCGCGACACGCAATTTGGGCCTGGCTGGCACATCGAACTCAGTGGAAACAGAGCCCGTCTCCCTAAATTGTCTATGAGGCAGTGGCGGGTGTGCTTGACCCGAGAGACCTTCCTTGGCTAGCTGTCTGCGGAGGACCAAAACGAACCTAGGGCAGACTTGTGTTGCGAAGTGCGAACGCACCTGCCTGGTAACTAAACACAAGAAAGCTGGTGATGATGCGATACGTGCGAATTCAATTGACCCCTGTCGCGTCATTTCGTCCAAGTGAATTCTCTCACCAATACCCCGTTGACTGTGTGATCCTGTTATGCGTGCAATTGAGTGATTCGAGCGAGAATTGCACTATCAAAGCAAGAGTCCAATGAGCGAAGGCATGAGCGAAGAATATATAGCGAAACTACAGTGGTAACGGTAATGGACTGTGGTTGTCGCGCGACGGGCCTAGGACTGAGGTTTGGGGAAATGTAGAAGCGGAGGTCCGGAGCGCGGGTTACCCGTCGAGCCGTGAGGTCGGGGTGCGACGTGCGAAGGTGGCGAGAGGTTTGTCGATGCGAGGGTTTCGAGTGGTAACGGTGCTGACTGTGGTGCAACAGTGGTGTACGCGCTGAACAGGGACGCGAAGTAAAGAAAAGGAATTTTCCTTATACTACCCCCCCTCCTAAGGAGGTCCTCCTTACGAAAGCGTGTGTACATCCCTGAAGTTTCGGGTGCGCAGATGCTCTGTGAGGACGGGGTGGTTTTCGACTCTGTCCAGGGGAACCCAGATGTCTTCGGTGAGTGTACGGTCTTTCCAGCGGATCAGGAACTCGATCCTTCGGGCTCATCGAGGGTCACGAACTCTGTGGCTCGGAATTTTCTCGGGTGTGATGATTGGTTCAGTCGGCGGTCGTGTCATGCTGGCTGGGCGATTACGTGGTAGTTGGCTTGTGGACGGTATGTAGGGGCGAAGTACGCTAACGTGGAAGGACGGGCTGACGTACCAGTCAGCGGGAAGGAGG